AAAAGAAAAGAAAAGAAAAGAAAAGAAAAGAAAAGAAAAGAAAAGAAAAGAAAAGAAAAGAAAAGAGTTGTGACTGAGCTGTGAGACTAGGCAGGCAGAGTTGTACCAGCTTGGAATCCCAGTACTCGAAGGCGCAGGTAGAAGGATTAAGAGGACCAGGATCACCTGGCCTACTTAGCAAGAGAGCTCTATGTATCCCATTCAAATAAAGAGACAAAATTAAAAGTTAGAAAATAGTTAGAATAAAAGTCATTGTGAAGGTAATGAACAGCTTTTTGTGTGTGTCTGTTTTACTAAATGAATGAAAAAGTATAATAATTGAAAATAGTAGGAATGTCTACCTTTCAAGCTTTTTATTAACTGAATAAATAAAATGTCTTGTTCACAGAAACATGCAGGCCATTCCTCAACATAGTTCAGACACTGCCAGGTGAACCATGACAAGTTCGGCAAAATTCCACCAAGCTGTAACTCATATCCTTAAATTCAGCAAGAACTCTGAGATAATAATATGGACAAAAATAAATCTCTTAGGCAAAATTAAAAGTAAGAATTCTGTTGATTAATCTGAAAAACAAATGTAGTCCTGGCCAACTTACCAATGCATTTTGTCCAGTGTTATCTTACTGGGTTTTACTAAATTGTAGGCGTGAAAAATAGTGCCTGCAGGTGGGAACAGAAGGTGTTCTGGAAGGAATGAGCCTCAGGCACAAACATGCCACTTTACAGAGACCTGTGTCTAGGCTAAGAAGGGAGCCGTCCCTTCCTTATTTACTCTCTTGGTACAGCTGACCACACTGCAAGTTTCTTTCCCTAGGGGCAGGATGAAATCATGGAAGCCCCCTCAGGACTCAGGCAGTGCAAGAAACCCTGCTTGTGCAAGCAATTGGCATTGTCAAAGGGAGAATCTGACAGAGTCTGGGTTTTGTTCAGTTTTATGAGAAGGGAAGCATCTTTCCTCCAGCTTTAATGATTCATAAAACATACAAATCACAATAGGTTGACTTGGTTCCACCTGTGAAGAGTCAAAAGAAGCTGAAGTTCCCCAATTTGTGTTCTTTCCCACAGACATATTTATAATAAGAGAAAACTTGGAAATGAAAGAACATAGAGATGGAAGGAATTATTTTGATCCAGAGTAGACACATTTGATTCATTGGGAGCACATTGAATCTATCAGGCTACTGACAGCAGGTCTCCCATCCAAAACTTTCAAAGAAATTAGACACACGTGATCTTAGCTCCCAGGCTGATGCAGAACTATATGGGCATATATGTGCTCTAGAGACATGTCGTAAACACTGACACAGGACAACTCGCTTCATCAGTTTTTGGAGTCCAATGATGCAGAAAAACAGGCAGATGCAAGGTAGGCAAGATGGACGTGACAAGGTGGACAGGTGATGGCAGGTAAGGGCTGGGAAGTTTCTGCTGGATATACTGGCCATTGGTCCCACGTGATCAAGAATGAAATAAACAGGAGTTTACACCTAAAAGAAGCCTCCCACTTTGCTTTGTCTGACCAAGGAAATTCGTCAAACTGAACTAAAAATTAAGGATCTCACTGGGTGTCCAAAAAATAAAATTCATATTTTGATCACAAGGAAAATAACTGATTTGGCTATTTACACTATAAAATTTTAGTTTGTTTAGTTACTTTTTCAAGTACCTTATCTAAAGATATGAGTAAAAAAAAAAATGTTGGTCTCTTATAACTAAATGTGTATGTGTTTGTGAGGGAAGGAGTGCTGGGGTCCTAAGAGGAACTTCTCTTGAGATCCAAAGAAGCTCAGATCAACATTCCCCCCAAAGACTGTCTCCTCTCTGTGAATCATAAAAGTTATCTTTTTCAGCAAAGCCAGTTGACCAAATTCTTTACAGACCATAATGCTGTTCAGATGTAGATTCTTATTTCTTAAGAAAATGAAACAGAAATAGATTTTGTATAACCTGGGCTCTGTAATAAATAGTTAAGAGCGGTAAAATAAGATTTGTTAACCTTTTTCCCAGCCGGCCACAAAAGGATTTATGGGTTTTCATGCCTTCCGTTGGTTCTGTGTTCCATGACCAAGTCTCTCACTTGCTGTATCAGTGAGTGCGCTGTATCAGTGTCTTTACACAATACTTTCCTCCAACTGCTAGGACTCAGCCAAGCCCTGGTCCAGCTGTGGAATGAAGGCCCATGTAGCTCTAACGTTAGATTCTGAAGAATGAAGCATTATTTTCAATCTTTACTGCACAATCAACAATCGTGCTCTAAGGCCAACGTATCCCATTGGGGGGGAAATGAGCATACTGACCCACCAAGCATTACCCTAAACCAGCAATGGAATAACTAACACTGTAGAGGTTTAAATCTTCCTTCTAGGGGCCCACAGTCCTTTCTGTGGAATAATGTGGGATGTATTAAGCACCGCTGTTGCCTATCGAAGGAACACATTTCTAAGATCCAAGAATGCCAGCTTTCTGTTGTGAAATGAACACGTGTAGCTCCTACAATTCTTCCATGACCATAATCCTGGTCTCAGAGCTGTTCCCTACCCCAAAAGTAAGAAAACCTTTTGTAGTCCCAGATGGCCACATAAAACAAGTATTTGGGCTTCTGTGTTTTATAAGAAGACCCACTGGAAGGATTAATGTCTACTGCAAACAGGGCATAGCCAGCCCCTAAAGAGAGAATAACGGTGATCAGGCTGTGGTTGGGAAGTTTTTAATGTGTGATCCTCCTTGTGGTTCTACCTCCCGTCTATCTTTCTTGGGTCAGCTGAAACCAATCCTTCAGAACGTCCAGACGGCAAATGTTCACCTCTATCTGAATGTGCTTTTTAAAACCCAAGAGCTTTGTTTCATGTTTTCTTCTCCGAGGGAGAACTCTGTCCAAGCGCACCCAGCAGTACAGTGCCATTCACCAGGAGACAGGCTAGTAGAACCCAGGCCTGTGTAAGATCTCAAGAGTGCTAGCTTCCTTCTGTACCTGAAGGAGCAGAAGAGGAAGTGATCTATTTCACTTGCTTTTCCCCAATCCAGGGAAAAAACGGTCAGTGCTTCTCAGAAGGAGTCTGACTGCTAAGGCCCTCAAAAACCCTACCTATCTGTTGTTGCCATCTTGAGCCTGATGGAGCGTCCTGATGGAGCATCCCTTTCAGGCAGCTCTCTGCTCTGTGCGTTAATCTGGTGTGATACGGAGCGGAGGAGTGCAGGGATCACAGACATAAAAGCAAAATACAGAGAAAGGAGACAAATAGAGACACAGGTAAGTTAAGGAAGAGGAAAGCGGATGACAGAAGGGAAAGCGAGAGAACTCGTGAGAATGGATTGGCTTTTATAAAGATCGTTTTGTCTGCAACATTACCCAAAAAGAGTGAGAACCATGCGGGGGCTGTACTGTTACGGTGAATGAGCTGCCCTCACTAAGATCTCAAGATCGCTAGCTTCCTCTCCACCCCCTTTCTCTCCTCTCCCTTTTCAACATCACATCTTGCAGTGAACCATACTGTGGGAAACAATCTGAGGAATAGCCACACAGCTCTGTGTGTGTGTGTGTGTGTGTGTGTGTGTGTGTGTGTGTGTGTGTGT